CAACCTCCAACCAACTTCACACCAGCGCATTACCTAGCCCTGCTAGGAAGCATCGGTGCCCGGGGCCACACTGCATAGATCCCAGTGACTCATCCTGTCTCCGCAGTACCATTAGCAGTCTGCTGAGATAGGCAGAGAAGAAAGCNCAAGACCAGCTATGTGGTAACAGGGCAGATACATTTACATTCACATCAAGAACACTAGCGGCTTCTGTTCTAGATAGTTCTAGTCCTACATTTAAATTCCTCGCAACCGTATTGAATTGCTCGTGGCTCATCACATGCGCAAAGCCAGGCTGAGTGGGACAGGGGTTTACACTGGAAGTACTCGCTGTACTGGTCAGACATACAGGAGGTATGGCTCATGATGGCTGGCAGTATATAGGCCTGATCTGAAGCAGACTGCAGCCATCCCCCCAGTGTATGTGTATGTATTAGCTGGCCACCAAAAAGGCCTCTCGAGATGCTGGGAAGACATGCACTCCAGCATGTATATGTATGTATGTATGGTGTGGGTGCTGTACTGTACAACAGCTTTTACACTCCTTGCCCTCGCTCTGAAGGTGTCTGTCTTAGGCCCTCACCGGTGTGTCCCCACCACACCAGCTTGCAATTGTCCCTACCTAGTCCTACCCTTTGGGCAGTAGAGTTGCCAGTCCATGTCATATCAGCAGTGCCTCTTCACATGTGTCCAGCCTTCTTTTCAGGTTGTCCAGGCATAGAGATTTCTCGGTCAGCAGCAGCTACGCAGTATATGTATACATGCATACTCTATCATAATGGAACATTGGTCACTGTATTCGAATCCATCACTGTGCATCATCATTTGGGGGTGCATCAGCGCTGGAATTAATTGGTATAGGAATTATATTCTCCTGCTCTTTGTCAGGATCCATCCTTGAACCTTCCAGCAGGGACACGATGCTGCAGCCTTAGCACATTTGCTGTGCATGTCTGGAGCAGAGCCAATCCTTCCAGCAGCACCAATCCATCCAGCCTAACTGGATCATACCTTGTCACCTGCTGTTTGCCTTCCAGCTAATGCTATCATCTCGCCTTGCCATGCACGAAACTGCTACAGGCAGGCCCACACCTTCCATCCCTGTTTCTGGAAATCCAGGCATTCGTCCCCCCTCTCCCCCAGGATCAATAATATCTCCATCCTCCGGTAAGTCAGTCGCACGCTGCTCTATCTTGCATCGTCGCCAAGGAAGGGTAGTTGACATGTGTACATATAGTAGCCAAGCAAGCAAGCGGCTTGCAGGAGCTGATGCGATGCTACAAATCAGGGCCCGTTACCTCTCACATCACGCAATGTGATGGTCTCATATCTTACAGTACATGTATGAGCTGCTCGATCGAAGACCGTGCGGATTTAGCTCAGTTGGGAGAGCGCTAGACTGAAGATCTAGAGGTCGCTAGTTCGTTCCTAGCAATTCGCAGATTGTGCAAGTGTGCGGTCCATTGAACGGAAAGAAAAGTAGGTAACTAAGTTTGGCTTGACTCTTCTGCTCTGCCGATGTGTCGGACCAAACTGTGTTGCATATTTGCAACGGGCACAATGTAGCAGAAGCAGTAGTAAAACTCGGCTGTGAGCAACTGCATGCTGCTAAAACGCATTCTCTGATATTCCCCAACCCATCCATGCAACAGTATGAGCTCGCCAGGCCTAGGGGAATGTACATTTATAATCGTATCAAACAGCTGAAGAGGGAAGTCAAAGCGTCATCTTTGACTACTCGCCTGGCAGTCCCTGTACCTTCGCCAATGTTTTGAGGCATCCTCATCCTTGTCAGCCATGCCAACGTTCTTGCTGACTTCCAGTGACTTTCCAAGGTCTAGCATCCACACCAGTGACTTTTCAAGGTCTAGCATCCACACCACCTGATGATTTATGGTTCAGCACCCATATCATCATCAGGTTCGAATTCATCAGACTCTGTTAACTTAGGGTTGCCAGTCAGCGACAGCTACATGCATATACTCTATTACGATGTGATGATCCATGGTTGATGCTGAGGGAAGTTACATCCTGATCTCCATTTACCCTGCACCCGTGTTGTACTTTGCAGGAGTCGAACAGACGACTCCTGCATCCAACAGTGGCATGGTTTCGGACAGGAGCTTGTGAAAAAAGTGCATGCATGCACTTTGCTGATGTACATGTGTTATACTGTACGGCAGTTGCTACAGTATTCAGTTCTCAATCGCCTGCATCCGCTCGGGTGTTAATGTATGTGTATGTATGTTTTTGTATGGCGTTGCGAAATTTCAACTGGCCGCCAGAATGAACACTACTTCGTGCGTGGGTATGTATGTCCATCAGATTTGTGAAGTGAGTAACACATCCACACTATGACACTATGATATGAAGATAATTCGTGCACTCAGAAGGGAACATCGAAGTGGATACCCAGGTAGGATTGCGCTTTACCTAATGAACTGAAGTGAACATATCCCTGCATGCTGTGTCAGCCAGTAGTCACGTGACGCATGATGTCATGATGCAGATGGATGTGGTATGATCATCGGGACCCGAGGATAAAATATAAATGCTCCACTTCGATGAGTCCTTTGAAAGAGGACTGGCATGTCGCCCATCACCCATACACCATCGAGTGATATGATGAAGCACCGAGTGCACACCCATACCAATATAAATAATATACATATATATGTGTGTGTTTTAATTGTTTATCATATCACATATATATACACATATGATACAATAAATAGATCATATACACATCTATTTTTCTGTGCAAGACAAGATCATCTACTTTGCTTCTCTTCTTGTTCCCGTCCTGACACGTGGCGGCTGAATGTTCAGCAAGAGTATTCTATATGTATAGTGTGTGTGTTGCATCTGTGCGTGTTACATGATCGTGGGGTGCATTCCCCGTACCTGCTAACCGCGCAATACAATCGAGTCGAGGTTTTAAGAGATGGAATCATACGACCACAGGCTCATTTAACTCCTTTTATTTAAACAACCCTCATAGTATAGTAACATGTTATAATGTCTTCGATCTGCATATGTTTCTTGGAGCTTACCGGGTTTGAACTGGTGGCCTCACGCATGCAAAGCGCGCGCTCTACCACTGAGCTAAAGCCCCTCTCCGTCCTCTGTTATGTACATCAGCTTTCCGCCCAACGCCACGGCTTAGTTCACAACAAAGACACCAGTCTTGTGGACTAAAATAGCGACTGAAGCTGCTGAGTTTGTCCTTTCGGCCGCAGGTTGACACAACGTAGTTCGGTGGGGCAAAGCCCTCGTTAATGTTGGCTCCGCTAATCCCGAAGGGTAACTAGTAATGTAGTTAAACTACAACTAGGCTCTGTCCATATGCCTACTACATTAGGAACTACGGCATCCCCCCTTCGGGGAAAGAGCTACTAGTAAAACGACATTACCGAAGGGGGACCTAACCTACTCCAACAAGAACCTTTTTTGACAACGTAGTAGCTTTGGCCAGAGACCTAGTCGTAGTTATTTTATACAATTGAGCGAATTCAGACAAACGTCTGGACAAATCCATGTCGGCACGTGCACACGGAAAAATGGTCTCCTCAAGGCCCGATCTGGCGCGTGCCTGTGCAGTGCTTTGGAGCTTACCGGGATTGATCCGGTGACCTCACACATGCGAAGCGCGCGCTCTACCATTGAACTAAAGCCCCCTCCCATCTGTGTCAACCTCCAACCAACTTCACACCAGCGCATTACCTAGCCCTGCTAGGAAGCATCGGTGCCCGGGGCCACACTGCATAGATCCCAGTGACTCATCCTGTCTCCGCAGTACCATTAGCAGTCTGCTGAGATAGGCAGAGAAGAAAGCCCAAGACCAGCTATGTGGTAACAGGGCAGATACATTTACATTCACATCAAGAACACTAGCGGCTTCTGTTCTAGATAGTTCTAGTCCTTCATTTAAATTCCTCGCAACCGTATTGAATTGCTCGTGGCTCATCACATGCGCAAAGCCAGGCTGCGTGGGACAGGGGTTTACACTGGAAGTACTCGCTGTACTGGTCAGACATACAGGAGGTATGGCTCATGATGGCTGGCAGTATATAGGCCTGATCTGAAGCAGACTGCAGCCATCCCCCCAGTGTATGTGTATGTATTAGCTGGCCACCAAAAAGGCCTCTCGAGATGCTGGGAAGACATGCACTCCAGCATGTATATGTATGTATGTATGGTGTGGGTGCTGTACTGTACAACAGCTTTTACACTCCTTGCCCTCGCTCTGAAGGTGTCTGTCTTAGGCCCTCACCGGTGTGTCCCCACCACACCAGCTTGCAATTGTCCCTACCTAGTCCTACCCTTTGGGCAGTAGAGTTGCCAGTCCATGTCATATCAGCAGTGCCTCTTCACATGTGTCCAGCCTTCTTTTCAGGTTGTCCAGGCATAGAGATTTCTCGGTCAGCAGCAGCTATGCAGTATATGTATACATGCATACTCTATCATAATGGAACATTGGTCACTGTATTCGAATCCATCACTGTGCATCATCATTTGGGGGTGCATCAGCGCTGGAATTAATTGGTATAGGAATTATATTCTCCTGCTCTTTGTCAGGATCCATCCTTGAACCTTCCAGCAGGGACACGATGCTGCAGCCTTAGCACATTTGCTGTGCATGTCTGGAGCAGAGCCAATCCTTCCAGCAGCACCAATCCATCCAGCCTAACTGGATCATACCTTGTCACCTGCTGTTTGCCTTCCAGCTAATGCTATCATCTCGCCTTGCCATGCATGAAACTGCTACAGGCAGGCCCACACCTTCCATCCCTGCTTCTGGAAATCCAGGCATTCGTCCCCCCTCTCCCCCAGGATCAATAATATCTCCATCCTCCGGTAAGTCAGTCGCACGCTGCTCTATCTTGCATCGTCGCCAAGGAAGGGTAGTTGACATGTGTACATATAGTAGCCAAGCAAGCAAGCGGCTTGCAGGAGCTGATGCGATGCTACAAATCAGGGCCCGTTACCTCTCACATCACGCAATGTGATGGTCTCATATCTCACAGTACATGTATGAGCTGCTTGATCGAAGACCGTGCGGATTTAGCTCAGTTGGGAGAGCGCTAGACTGAAGATCTAGAGGTCGCTAGTTCGTTCCTAGCAATTCGCAGATTGTGCAAGTGTGCGGTCCATTGAACGGAAAGGAAAGTAGGTAACTAAGTTTGGCTTGACTCTTCTGCTCTGCCGATGTGTCGGACCAAACTGTGTTGCATATTTGCAACGGGCACAATGTAGCAGAAGCAGTAGTAAAACTCTGCTGTGAGCAACTGCATGCTGCTAAAACGCATTCTCTGATATTCCCCAACCCATCCATGCAACAGTATGAGCTCGCCAGGCCTAGGGGAATGTACATTAATAATCGTATCAAACAGCTGAAGAGGGAAGTCAAAGCGTCATCTTTGACTACTCGCCTGGCAGTCCCTGTACCTTCGCCAATGTTTTGAGGCATCCTCATCCTTGTCAGCCATGCCAACGTTCTTGCTGACTTCCAGTGACTTTCCAAGGTCTAGCATCCACACCAGTGACTTTTCAAGGTCTAGCATCCACACCACCTGATGATTTATGGTTCAGCACCCATATCATCATCAGGTTCGAATTCATCAGACTCTGTTAACTTAGGGTTGCCAGTCAGCGACAGCTACATGCATATACTCTATTACGATGTGATGATCCATGGTTGATGCTGAGGGAAGTTACATCCTGATCTCCATTTACCCTGCACCCGTGTTGTACTTGCAGGAGTCGAACAGACGACTCCTG